AGGGCCGGTGGCCGCGCAGAGGGCGTCCCGCGGACCCCAGTGCCTTCCCGTGGCCCTGAGCGCTTGGCCTCGCCCTCCCCGGGCTCTGCGCGCTCCCCCGGGCGCCCTGCTCCTCGCCAGCGTGGGCAGGAGGGGGCCGCAGGGGCGGTGGCCGTTGTTCGTTCGCACCTCCACCTCGCGCATTAGAATTTGTTTTTTCCCTAGGAGCCGACTTGGCTCCCAGCTTGACCCCAGTGAGGTGGAGACTGCCGTAAGAGCACAGGGCCCTGAGGAGAGGAGGACCGAGAGGCCTCTGGAGCAGAGATAGGACGAGCCTTGACGCTGCGGATGCAATAAGACCGGGTGGAATAACTGTGATATGCCCTGGAGGGAAGGAATACGGGGTGACTGAGCCCCCGTGTGCCAGGCACTATGCTGGGTGTATTCAGACACGTCCTGCAATCCCTACAGCCTTTTGAAATTACCCCCTTTAAACGTTAGGTACTTTAGACTCAGAAAGGTGTAGCAATTTGCCCAAGGTCACAAAGCTTGGAATGATGAAACCTGTTCCTCAAGTTTTATTTGGGAGAGCGTCAAGGCGAAGCAGGAGAATGCATGTTTGTTAATAAACTGCATAAAGGTGCGAGGCGTGGGGCTTTGCGGTAGTACATGCTCAACGTGATGATTAAGCAAACGGGTGAGGATCGCCTAACTGGAGAGGAGCCTGCTGCAGGAGCAGACCTCCACAGGCGTCCGTATTTCAGCGCATTGCTTCTTTGGGCGGCAGCCCCACCGTAATGGTACCCGGAGGTGCCTCTGGTCGTAATTGGCTCTGGGAGCGGGCTCCGGTGTGGTCCTCAACAGCACTTCCTTAGGGGAACTGGAGGAACCCCTCTGAGGTGTTCGGAGCCACCTTCACTGCTGCAGAACCCTGAGGGAGGAAAAGGGAAGAAATGATCGCTTTTGAGAAAGCTTGAGCCTCACTGTCCCGGCGGCCCCCTGACTGGTGCACCTTGACATCGGGCGTAAATACCGCTCGCACACCTGCCCGGCACACCTGCCCGGCACACCTGCCCGGCACAGCCTCTGGCGGCGCGGGTAGGGAAGGTCTACCGGGAGTCTGTTGTCTGGGAATGGCAAGGATTCTCTGCCTGACCCAGTGATGCCATCTTGGCTCATCCCCCAGTGTTTTCATTCAAGCTGAATCCTAAGAGTTTCGCTTTGGGCCCTGGGATAGACTCCGGCTTCCTATGAAAGAATGGAGAGGCGAGAGGGCCAAGCAGTGGGATTTACCATGGAGCCATTCTAGAAGTTTTCTTTCTCCCCTCCACACAGCCAATCTAGTAACACACTCCTTTAATAACACCGGCTTCCCTGGGCCCTGGGATCACGCAGTGCAAGAGGGAGACCAAGCTCGGGGGAAGCAGAGCAACCTAGTTTACCAGGTGGTTGGTTGTGTTTCTAATTCGATGGCGTCTCACGGATGGGTGTGGCACCTCCGAACAGCTCAGTGGAGTCACGCTGATGGAGGTTCACGTTGGTCTATGTGTCCCATTATAAAGCTGTTCATGGGGCTGGGGATTTAGCTCAGCGGCAAAGTGCCTGCCTGGCAAGCGCAAGGTCGTGAGTTCGATTCCTGGTACCGGAAGAAAAACAAAAACAAACAAACAACAAAAAAATAAAGCTGTTCATAACTCTCTCAGTTCAGACCCCTCTTACAGCTTAACAGATCAAAACAAACAAGTATATATTGTTTTTAAAGAAAATCGGAAATACCAAGCCTGCAGTTGTGATCTTTGCTCTTAACTTAGAGATTTGTCTTTGAGTTTTATTCTTAAATTTGTCTTTTTATTGAGAGCTGTTCATCTCACACCTCCTCAGAACCCTGAAAAAAACACTTGACTAATTGAGATGCCCCTTTAAATCTTGGACTTAGGATATTATTTCACGTCTAGCATAGGGTAAACATTAAGATTTAAAACTTCTCTAAGAAGAGTGCTTAACTCCCCAGTAATCATAATATGAGTCTGCAAATCAGATCATTCCAGAATATGTGTGAAGGATGTCACCATTCTCTTCAAAGGGAAATAAAAGAATGGCTCACGCATTTTCCTTTGAGTGTGTGGAAATGTGCCTGGATTTTACTCAGCCTTTGATCTTCCCCATATTCTATGACCACATTCTTATGTTTTCCTCCTCCAACGTTTGCCATATTTTTAACAGTGCTTCCTTTTCCTTGAACATAGATGGCAAAAGCTTCCCCGGCCCATTTCCCACAGTCCCTGCACTTTTCCCAGTACACCTGTTCCTAAGTGGATCACATTTATGCAGATGGTTTCCCACCTTTTTACAGAATCTATTACCTTTCGGCCCCACGTGCTTCTCTCCAGCACTGTTGCTTGGTTTCTTCTATCTTCATTTCTTAAATGGATATATTCACTTCTGATGGGAATAGCATTATGTACTCCACCCTTCAATCTTAATGACCAAATTCGAATGGAAATTGCTTATCATCTTTGGACCAAGAAACCTAAACTGTCAGTGTCCAGCTGGAGACATGATAATCGTTTCCATTATAGCATCTCTGTTCTCCACACCCATTCCAGCAGTGCCTTCAGGGACCCACATACATACTAAGTGCTACTTACTTGCCAGCACTTAGCTCTATAAATCTGAGCGCTCTTGCCCTTAAGGAGTTCACAGAGAAGCAGTCTGTGTTTCTCTAGTCATTTGCTGTGAAGAGCGGGAAAGGTACGGAGGGGAATAAGAGTACCTAAAGCAGTCAGTGTGGAGGGATCACTGAAAGCTGGTGCTCTGCGCTGCTCAAGCGGCCGCGCCCTGGCCTCTCTGCCCCAGTTAGTTCTGTCCATTTGCTTTTGGTGCCCTGGCCACACTTGCTTCCCTGTGACAATAATGACACAACCATACATTTGGATAACCTGTTAATAGTTTACCAAGTTAACACGTTATACCTTACGTATATGACCTCTATGATTTTGAGAAATAGTTCCTTTTCCTGGAGTCTTCCCTCTTTTTAATTTTTGTTATTTGTTTGATTTGAGGTTTATGAGGCTCACATAGAGAAAGCCTCAGTGGTTCACTACAATCTGCCTGCCAGCTCTAAAGTCCTGAGAAGAGTTTCCTGGGTTTCTGTTTTTTGTTGTTGTTTCCTTTTGTTTTGTTTTGAGACAGTCTCGCTCTGCAGTCCAGGCTGGCCTTGAACTCACTGTTCTCTGCAGCTCAGGCTGGCTTCGAACTTGTAGCAGTCCTCCTTCCTCAGCCTCCCGAGTGCTGGGATTACAGGCGTGCACCGCCATGCCCAGCTGAATGTCCTGTTGGGTCCCAAGCCTAGCAAAGTGTTCATTGGTCTGCCCTGGGAGTTATCAGGGTTACCCGTCTTCCTGGCCTTAGGAAACCCAATTATTTGAGTTTATGTGGGGTTTCTTTTTTTATCTCCCTGAAATTCAAATGAAAATTCTAAACAATATTTCAAGCATACTACCTCAGGCCAGTTCTTTGGGCTGATGCTAACTCATATGTGAAGGCAGGTTTTTCTCTCCTGTTTCCGTCCTGCACCTCGGCTGGCTTCACATCGTCCGAGTCATGATGGAGTCTCCATATAGCTCCATGCCTTGGCATGTGTTCTTACCTCTTCCTGGAATGCTTTTTTTTTTTTAATCCACCAGGGTAACTCCCACTCACATTCAAAATTTAGCTCAAGCAACACCTTTTTTTTAGTCCTCCACTTGTGCCCCCTACACACGAAGCATACTCACTGCATTCTCACTCGCCAGGGAGGTTCCGCTTGTTCAGTCCACTGACAGTCATTAGCCCCTGACTTGTACCTAAAATGTAGCAGACTGCACTCGGCGAATGTTTTTAGAGTGAATAAACAAGTAAATGGTGACCATTAAAATGTAATAGCTGCATTAAATGGGGCTGAGTCTGTGCGCTGGGGACCTGGAGCAGAGAACAGGGAGCGCCTGCCTCTCATCTTGCTGAAAAGCTCTGCCTGTTAAGTGCAGGCGCGTCAGCCAGTCACTGATGGCGTGATGCGCCTTCGCTGTTGCTCTGCGTCTGTGGGAAGTCAGCACTGTAGCTTTTAATGAAGCCTCTCAGCCCAGACCCCTAGGGGCTAAAGATCACACCGTAATTTTGTCCTCATGTATATTAGAGCTTTGTGAGCTTTCAGTAAATATTACACTGCAGCGGGACCTCCCTTCTGCCTCGCAGTCTTGAGCAGAGGCAGGAAGGTAGTTTTGCTCAGCCTTAATCCTGACTGCTCCTTGGAAACCCCAGGAAAGCTCTGTGCAGTTAGGGTGACCGTATCTTCCTCCAGACGCAGAGGAGAATGGAGGGGGATGAGGAGGACCTCTTCAGGGTCTATGGGCCTGAAAACTAAGAATAGTTCACAGTCTACTGCCAGCCAGCAGAATGGCTGAGTAGGAAAACAGACTCCAAGAACACTGTAGTGAGGCGCTGGACTCGTAAAGCAACAGCCAGTCCGAGGAGAACAACTGGACCACTTGGGGCGTGGATTTCCTCAAAGATCCGCAGAGGGTAAGGGGACTCTTTGTGATGTTTTTTGCTTAAAGTCTTAGAGTTGGTGCTGGTCTGCTGTGTGTTCCGCATTTTGTTTTTACCCACCTGGATCCGCTGCTTTCCCGTATTCGTATGACCGGTCACCTTCTGTGTGACCTTCTTTCTCGGAGGCTCTTAGTCCTTCAGATACATCCTTTCAGAAGCCAACCAGTGAACACTTAGAAATTCTTCACTTGTGTGTGCAAATGCTAAATTTCTCCATCTCAAACCCAAGAGAGAAAAGATGAATTTTCAAGCTTCTGCTTGCGCTCTGAGACAGTTACCCTGCTGTGGGCCAGGCTGCAGTACACGGGACATGCATAAATGCCGGGTATTACTGGCTTTGGAAATGTTGGGTACTCTTGTCTTATATTGTTGTTATGGAAACTGGGTGAATTCCAAAGTTTTTATAGCTTTCCTCTATAGTCAGAGAAGTCACCCCTCGTTACTTACGATACCTGCCCTCACCCTTGCACACCCTCGTGCGCCATCCAGAGTCCATCTCCAGGGAATCAGAAGGATGGGGTGAGATAAGATGACTGCATCGTTTCTAGGACTGCCCCCCAAGGGTTCGGGCTGATCAATGTTCTGGCCGGCTTTGACCTCACACATACTTGTTACGTTGCTCGGTCATCTCTGCCACATTCACTTAACAGAGAAGTGTAGGGCATGTGCTCGGTGGAAGGCAGTGGGGACCATCGAGACTGTTTCCCTCCTGACCTCAGTGAAAACTGAGATCTTTTTCCATCTGCTTAACCCACTCTTGCCTAGTTTTCCTGTTTCACACTCCTGCTCAGAAGGTGTCTTTTCTCGTTCCTGCCTGGGGAAGCCCTCGTAACCTCCAGAAAAATCCCTTTTAGTTACTGTTGTGCCTTTCAAGCAGCTGTCACTCTTCTATCAAGAATCAGATTAAAGCAAGTAAATGTATTTTACATTTAGCCTGCTGACTGAGGAAACTCCTGCCTGGTATGAGGGCTGCTCCTCAGGCTCTCCACGCTGTAAATCCGTATGGAGAGTGCCTGGGAAGAGAGGTTCCCTAGCTGCCTTTGTCTTCCTTATTTCTCCACCAGCTCCTGCTGTGGAACAACCCCTCCTCCTTACTCCCACGATTTTGCCCTTATAAATAATCCCACTGCGTTGTAAGCAGGTGCTCTGCAGGGAATTGGGTGTGTCTTGCACACACAACCCACGCTGCCCACATCTGTCTTACTGCCTGACAAATACATCTAGACAGCCTTCTCTTACTGAAAACTGGATTCTGGTTGTTATTTCAATTTCTTCCAGTTCATATAGTCAGATGACATACTCAGCCCTCTTGTACCACTGTTATTTTCTGCAATCTGCTTCTATTCCCCGTTTTTTTCCCCAAGCCTTCCCTGTATACCACAAATGCTTAATAACCACAGCGTTCTTGAGACAACATCTTTTTTACCCCCTTTTCATTCTTGCTGTGAGGCAGAAAACCCCATTCACTCACCAGCCAAGAAAGCAGTCACTGGGAATAATGTGTGGAGTCTTTGCAACTGGATTTCCTTCTAACTGGCTCTTCTTCGTAGGACTTAGTTCAGCACCAGAGAGGCCAGGATTTCTCACCAGGCACTTGTTTTTACCCATAAATAATCAGTTCCACTTGAGCTCTAGAAAGTAGAGCTCATTGTGCTAACTTTTCAGATAACCCAGGTGCACATCTTGGATATCCCGGCGTACTCACTCTTAGTCAAGGTGTCCTTTGCATACAGGTTCAGTCCTCCATGGAGCATTAAGGGATTTACCTTCACTCTTAAGGGTTAATTCTGTTGCCTCCTCGCAGTGTATAGTCAAAATCAAAGCCTCCTCAGTTCAAAATGACAAGAAAACAAAAACTAATTAAAAAGACTCAGGGCCTTGTTTGGATTCTGCTGGTTTCCTTTTAACGGCTCTACATTTTCTGCCCTTACAGGCATAAAGTGGTCTAGAAAATTGAGCCATCTCAAGTAAAAGGAATAGGAGTGCTGAAAGAGCCTGTGGTTAGAACTAGAAAGTGCCTTTTAAAATTTGTTTTGCTAGTGGGTGTCAGCTTCAGTCTTCGTAGAAATTCCTTTGTGGATAAACTCCCCCACCTATCGAGGTGACACCGTTAACAGCTGAGCTAGCTTAATTGCAATTCTTGGTAGCCTTGTAGAGAATGGTATCCTTGGTATCCTCATAATAAAGAATGGGCAGAAGCAGGACTACAGCGTGTCAGAGGGTGTCTGTGGTTAGTTTCTTGGTACGCTGTTGAGTCAGTTCACTTGTAGAGCAAGCCTCCTAATTTGCTGCCTTTGTTCAGTTACTGTCATTACATCATCTGAAAAAACACTAAGAACTAAATGCATATTGTTGCTTTTCCTCCATTCTTGAGTCAGTCATTCAAAAGTGAATTTAGGCCAGGTGTGGTGGTGCATTCTGTAATCCCAGCACTTGGGAGGCTGAGGCAGGAGGATCCTCACATGTTTGAGACCAGCCTGGGTTTACATAGTGAGTTGAAGATCAGTCTGAACCACACAATGAGACCCTGTCTCAAAATAAAACAAAAAGAAAAAGGGAAGGAAAAAGTGAATTTAATATGTTTATTCTAGATCTCCGTATAATAGTTTCTAAACTTTTTTCAATTTATACCTTCTTTCTGATAAACATAAAGGTCTTATGGCTGCCCTCTAAAACTTCTGATTCTACTTGAGAGAGGAGGCTGCCTTCCTCTTCCTTGTAATGTCAAACTCTGCCATTACACACAAAAATGGTGGCTTTTGATATTTGTTTTCTAGATAGAAACATGTTACTGATAAAATGTTTAACCCACTCACTTCTGTCCTCCTGGAGTTTCTGTCCCCTTCATATGCACCTGCCCAGGGTCCAGCCAGATGACCATTCGAGAATCATTCCTCTGGTCTTCATGTTTGAAAAATTAAATGACTTTTTTCTTTTTATAGCCAGAATAAATCACAGGTTATTAAGTAGCTTCCCTGTGGAGATTGTTTTCATCTTTTTATCACTGTTAAAAAGTGGTGGAATAAGCCAGGGGTGGTGGCAGGTGCCTGTAATCCCGGCATCCAGGGAGGTGGGGCAGGAGGATCACCGACGGGTTTGAAGCCAGCCTCAGAGAGAGCTTAAGGCCAGCTTGGACACGACCAGAACTCTGTCTCAACAAGAACAGCAAAAATGCCGCAGTCAGTCGTCTTTGCGTTCACGGGTCGGAAAAGCAGCCGCTGTGCAGAGCAGGTTTCCCTTTCTTCCCTCCCTCCTTCCTCCCTTTCTTCCTTCGTTTTTTAAAATACCAACATTATCTTACAACTCTTGGGGTCAGTAGTCCAGCACCGCCTCACTGGGCTTCACTCAAGGCATCAGCAGAGCTGCACTCCTTTTTAGAGGTGAGTTTATTTTCTTGCATTTTCTTCCTTAACAGAGTCCCCCTCATTTCTTGACCCACAGCCCCTTCCTCTCTCTTTGAAGCCAGCAGTAGCCCGTCAAGTCCTTCTCGTGTCATCAGCTGTTCACCTTTGCTGAGCCTTCCAACCACAGAGATTTAGAACATATCTGCGTAATCTGTTTATCTAATCTCCTTCCTTTACAATCTTGCATGAAATTGTTAAGGGCAAAGCTTTGCTATAACTCTGTCTTTACAGGTTACCATCTTTTCTCTTCCTAGTCATAGGGAGTGAACCTAGGTCCTTATATACAGTATTCTAGGTGAGCACTCAACCACTGAACTACATCCCCAGCAAAGGCAACTATCTTTTTTTTTTTTCTTTTTGAGACAGGATTGCAATATGCAGTTCAGGCTGGTCTTGAACTCACTTTGTAGCCCAGGCTGGCCTCGAACTCTCAGCAATCCTCCTGCCTCAGCCTCCTGAGTGCTGGGATTACAGGCGTGCACCACCACGCCCAGCCTGGCAACCATCTTTAAATCAAGAAAAAAAAAGTAGAGTTTAATAAAACTTTGAAAATGATCCTAAGCCTGGGATTTTCAAATTGCAGATTCAAATCTATTAGTAATTCATGAAATCACTTCAGAAAATCATTATAAGGGGTAGCTTTGTTTATTTTTTTTTTTTTTTTTTTTTTTTGGTACCAGGAATCGAACTCATGACCTCAGGCTTGCCAGGCAAGCACTTAAGCCACTGAGCTATACCCCTGGCCCAGGGACAGCTTTATTAAAATAGGATAGAGTATATCATGGAGCAGCACATGTAGGAAAGTTCGGATTGTTCCACAAAATTTTGTTTGGCTATAGGTCTATAAACATATATGTGTAAAGTATCATCACATAAAATGTATTTCTTGCTCTGGATCATGGTCACAGTTTGAAAAAACGTATGTATTTATACATACATACATACATACCTAGTGGTTCCAGAAAATGCAATTGTTCGAAATTGAAATGTGCAATGCAGAGTGGTGTGTCAGTCTTGAATTCTCCCCCGTAACGTGCCCCTGCAGCAATGGGGGGCTCTCCTCCCTGTGTAACTGGGCAGCACAGCGTTGCCCAGGAGGCATCTGGGCAGTGTCTCGGAGCTACAGGTCTCAGCAAAAACTCCTAACATACGCTCTCCTCTCCACGCCCACCCCTGCCCTGGCTGAATCCCTCCTAAGGTCACCTGCCCTGAGTCTAATCCCCACTGCCACACACACACACTCAAAACAGAGAAGCAGCACATTCGAGGTCGTAGATCAGCACGTCCAAAAAGAAAGCAAATCCCTGGGTTGGCAACTCTAGGATGTTTTTGTATAATTAAATTGCAAGGTAGGAAAACTAGAAAATAAAAAATGCAGAATAACAAAAAGATAAAGAATACATTAGGTCATTAAAATGAGCTCGTAATTCTTCGTCGTGTCTTTCCACATCAGTAACTGCGCCTGTACCTCAATGTTTTCACGTTGTCTGTTCTTCCCGGTGCTATAATTTAGTCCCTTGTTGTCCAATATTTGTTTCTGATTGAGGGGGATGAGTGTGAGGGTCATCTGGCTGCAACCTCCGTCACCCCATTGATTGCCAGGGTTGATTGAGGGTGGAAAGATTTTTTAGTCATTTTTTTTTAGAAATTGTCCACTGAGGCATGATTTACTAAATTTGCTTACTAAATCTTCACCACCACCCCACAGTTATTTATTCAGAGTAAATATTCCTTAGTCGTATACTTCAGTTTTGTAAGCTTACAAATGGGGAAGGTGGGTTTTTCCTTCTCAGCGCAGAAACTTGTACCGTTGTCGCCTACACAGGCGGCACAGCTGTTGCTGGCAAGAATATGTGGCCGTCGTCAGTTGTGCTATATATTAAGGTTTCTTGTTAAAAAGCAAGATTCCTCCGTAATTAATTGATTGGAAATGTCTGCTGAGCATCTGTGTTGTCCCGGACACCTTGGTAGGCATTAGAGCTCAATACTGGCAGGGTGAAGCACTCTGTTAGAGGAGGCTGATATTGATCAGATGGTCATCCTATTAAATATGTAACGGTGCCCCGGAGCCGAGGAGCATGGTACTGGGGGCACTCCAACTTGGCCTGGAGCCAGCAGTGACCTCCTCAAGGAGGTAATACGTGATTGAGCTAACAGGTGAATGGAGGGTGGAGAAATGGTCAAAGGTCCCAAGAATAGAAGCATGTAACCCAGCTACTCAAGAGGCTGAGACAAGAGAATCCTGTTTCAGGGGCCGGGGATATAGCTCGGCGGTACAGCACCTGCCTGGCAAGTGCAAGGTGCTAAGTCTGATTCCCGGCACCAAAAAAAGAGAATTCTGTTGAAACCCTCTGCCTCTCGGCTGGACTCCTGTAGTAGCCTTCTGACTGGCTCAGTCTCTCTTCTTCCCACCGTCACCGTTTCTCCTTAAGTAAACTGAGAACTTTTTGTCCACCCCCAGGCCCACCGTGACCTCCCGCAGCGTGGCTTCATCCTCTTGCGTACGTACTCCCAGCACCTCTCTTGAATTTTTTGAACTCTGATATTAAGTAGTTCGCATGGCGAGATGCTGTTTCCCTCTTCTGTTTCCCGGGATGAGCGCTGTCCTTAGTGGCTTGTGCAAAATACTGTTCAGTAAGCCTCGATTAGAGTGGGCCGAGTGCAAGGCTGAACTGGGCTCTGCTCCGCTTTCCAGCTGACTTCCTTAAGATTCCTGGCTAGGAGGTCGCCGAGCAGCTGTGCAACGTGCCCTGTCGCACACTCACTTTGCAGAGGTTCTGTGGAGAAAGGCAAGGACAACATCCTTTCTAACCTGTAAAAGAATATGGACCTTTCTCGAACAGTTCAGAAAATTACAGTTGAAAATGTGGGAGTGCCATCGGTGAAGTCTCAGAACAGTGAAATGTGCAGTAGAGCCTGGGGCGGCCAGTAGCCTGTGAGCGACAGAGACCCACAGAGGCATGGCTACTGACGGGAGGGGCGGAGGGTTGTTTGTGATCACGGCCACATCCACGGGGGCGGCAGAGTTTCCCCACCAATTCAGGTAGCGTCTGAAAATAAGAGCTCTTTGCTGTGACTGAAAATGTCCTGGGGGGTTGATGAGGATGACCCCTGGGTGGACCGTGTGCAGTGCGCACTGGACGCACTTACCTCAGTCAGAAGGCCGGAAAGGTGTGGTTGCAGGCTTGCTTTGACCCCTGAGTCCTCTCGTGGGGTTGAGGAAAAATTAGAGCTCTGAAGTCTCCAACTGCCTCAGCGTGGCAGAGGCTTGCCGTCACGGCACCAGACTGACTTTGGGATCAGAAGAAACATCACTGAACACATGCAGAAAGCTTTCCGCTTTACGAAGTACTGCTAAGCCTGTTTTCTTTGTTAGCCGCATGACAGTCCTGTGAAGTGGGCTGAGCAGGTGACCCTCGTTCCAAAATGGGAAAAGCAGGGTCACAGGGCCGGTCAGAGGTAGAGCCGAGTTCTTCCGATTCCTTAGTACATGCCGTCTCTATCCCACCACGCTACTGTGTTCTAGAAGCGGAGATTAATAGCCCTTCCCACTCTGGGGACACTCACTGGCCCAACCCGCTCGGCCACCGGCTGAGTCTGTGCCTTCTGCTTTTCGCCCGCAGCGCCATGGGGGTGTTGATGTCCAAACGGCAGACCGTGGAGCAGGTGCAGAAGGTGAGTCTGGCTGTGTCTGCCTTCAAGGATGGGCTGCGGGACAGGCCTTCCATCCGCCGCACAGGTGAGCTGCCAGGGTCCCGCCGTGGCACCGTAGAGGGCTCCGTCCAGGAGGTGCAAGAGGAGAAAGACCCGGAGGCAGGCACCGCAGTGGTCCAGGAAGACAGCAGCCTGCACCGAGCGGCCTGGGAACGGCTCCGAGATGGGCGTGGAATAGAGCCTGAGGAGTTCGACAAAACCAGTCGGTTCACACCCCCTGCCTTCGTCCGCCCCACCCGCAAGCTGGATGACGACAAGCCTCCAGACATCTGCTTGGAGCCCAGAGAGCCTGTGAGTGTCCAGTTAGGGCGGGAGCCCACAGTCGTCGTCTTAGGGAGACCTGGGCGTGGGTGAAATGAGACTCAAAACCAGAAAGGTGGAGCTGAGCCCCGATTACACCTTGGCTTTGTCTTAGAGAAAAACTTGGGGTGATAGGTATGAGGATCTTCTACCGACCCTCCCACCCACAGGCTCTCAATCATGGATAGTAATAACCCAATAGAATGCATTTGGAAATTTGGGGAGGTCACAGCGACTGGGGTCCTACTGGTGTTTGATGCCAAGAAAACCAGTGATGCTAAATTTCCTGCAATGCCTGGGGAGAGCGCGTACAAGTTGTTCTTTTTAAAGCTCCCATTAGCATTCCCCTTCAGAAACGTGGTCACAAAGGCCTGAGCAACTGAAAGAGCCTCCTGGTTCTCATCCACCGGGAAGAAAGCTCTGTCAGCTTAATGCTGGCTGTAGCTGGAACTGTTCCTCTAGGTTGCTTCGGGGAGCCTCAGCCCTAGCAGGCAGCTCCGTGCTCCGTGGCTGGAGGGTCTCACTGCCTCCCTTTCACATCCCCGCGTACGCCTGTCCACCTCTTTCTGTACCAGCTTGCTCTGCCGTCTCTCCGCAGGTCATCAACGATGAGATGTGCGACATCTGTGAGGTCTGGACGGCGGAGAGCCTCTTCCCGTGCAGGGTCTGCACCAGGGTTTTCCACGACGGCTGCCTGCGCCGCATGGGCTACATCCAAGGAGACAGTTCAGCGGAAGTGACCGAGATGGCCCACACGGAAACAGGCTGGAGCTGCCACTACTGTGTGAGCTTGGACCGCAGGGACAGTGGGCTGTAGGAAAGACAGAGGACTTGGCACTTTCCCTGGAGGCCCGGTGTTAGAACACTTGCTCCTAGACAGTGGCCGAAAGGGTTTTCTAAGTACTTACAAAGATCTCAGAGTGAGGGTGGGGTTTCCCAACTCCGCACTATTGATATTTGCCGCTAGATAATTCTTTGGTGTGAGGGTACATTATAGGAAGTGTCGCTGCGTCTCTGGCCTCTGCTGCCAGGACCCTTAGTTGTGATAGCCAGAAATGTGTCTAGACATTACCAAATATGTCCTGGATAGAGCAAAATCATCCCCAGTGGAAAACCACAGAGCTTCAGGTAAGCTGGATAAAATGACCCTACCTACTCAAAAGTAACTTTACTTAAAGTTGTTGGAATTGTCTGTAGCTGTCATTTATTGGCACTCACTTGAAAAACCAACCAGCTCGCTTCCAGTAGGAACAGATTCTATCATTCTGTCATTTAGTCCTTGATTCTCAATTTGACTTATCTCTCACTCTTGGTCTGGGGCTATAGCTCAGTGGTACAGCGCCTGCCTGGCAAGTGCAAGGTCCTGAGTTCAATTCCTGGTACACACAAAAAAAGCCTGCCTTCTGACTCTTAGAAACATTTGTTCATCTTTGAAGTGATCCTTATGTCACTTAAAATACTATTGAGTCAGAACTTTGCAAATTATTTATAAATGCCTTCCATCTTTTAATGAGACACAGAATCTAAGATTTTCATTGAAAGCCAGATTCATACCCATGTCTCACCACACCTGAATAGATTCAAGTCTTTGCTTCTTGATACCTTGTCCTTCAGACAGTGTCATTCGTTATTCTCTGAGCTCAGAATAAAGAGGATCTGGTGATTGCCCTCTTTTCCCTACTGCCTAGAGAAAGCACAGACGTCCCCTTGTCTTTCTGTCTTGTCCTTAAAATGAAGTACAGAGCAATTAATTTTCAGCTCCTTAAACATCTTTCCCCTCAAGTTTGTTACAGCAGAACCTGCTTTATAAACAGCCTTCCTTTCCTCAGGATGCTGGCCCATTCAACTCTGCTTGCTGCCGTTTCCTGCCAGTGTGGGGCTGGGTTGAAGGGGTCTCCTCTCTATACCCCCAGGAATGCACTGCCCGCTTCCTAGTGTCTGTCACGGTCTTATCATCACTACTGCCACAGTCCTCTTGCAAGCTCGCTCCCTTTCTCCCTCCCTTGCACACGCAGGCTTCTTACGAGAACCTCACTGTCCCCTGTGGCTTCTCAGCCACCTACCCCCTGATGTCTGCATCTGTCACTCTGCTGAATCGGCTCCTCCTAAGGTCACAGTGGTCTCCTAATTGTTAAGTCCAGTGATTCTCTCTCAAGCATCTTTCTTGCTTTTCGGAAGCACTTGGCCCTTTTTTATTTCCCATGCTTTCTTAGGCTCTGAGTATACTTGTGTGATGTATTACACACGATGTGGAAACGAGAGAAGACAGAAGATCCCTCCACACCTGTGTTAGCACTTAGCGTGACCTGCTTTGCGCAGCTTCCTCTTTCTACCGGCTCTCCTCGGGCCTCTCTGACCTTCTTCCTCGGTGCCGTTAGTTTGTTGTCTCAGTCTTAAATGCCGGTGCTTCTCAGGGTTCTGTTGTAATAAACTTCTCACTGTACTCTCTGGATGCCTCATCCTCCAGCCGCCATCTAAACACTAATGACTTCCTAGCAGACTTCAATTTCCTGCCTCTGAGACTTACCCATCTTAGGCCTCACAGTTACTTCGTGCTCACCTTGCCCCTAAATGGGCTCGTCTTCCTCTCTAACCCCACGCTCCCTCCACCCTCGTGTCTGTGAATTGCCAGCCCCTGGGTCCGAGTCCGGCTCTCGTCTCCCTCGTCACTCACAGCCAGTGAGTCACCAGTTCTGTTGACCCTCCCCTCTTCTCTGCTCATGCCCTTTCACTCTTCCTCTCCGGATGAGTGAACCTACTTCACACTGAGCTGTATCCCTAGGCCTTTTTATTTTTAAAGACAGAGTCTTGCTAAGTCACCAAGTTGCCCAGGAAGCTCTGAACTTGTAATCCTCCTGCCTCAGCCTCCCAGTGTCCTGGGACTGCAATCCTGCAGCTCTGTTCTCACATCACTATTAGCCTCGCTTTTATCATCTGCATTTTTCAGCAGCCACCTGACGACTCTCCGGCCTCCGGACTTTGTCCTGTGGTCCGTTTTCTCACAGCAGTCAGAGACCTGACCAAGGTGCTCCCGCTTAAAAGCCCTTTGGAGCTTGCCCTTTGCTCTCAGAACAAAGGTCTTTTTGAAGAGCTCAGTCAAAGACATTTCAGGTGCTTCACAGACTACCTAACCCTTTTATCAGGGCTCCCTGCAATTTCTATAGCAGCCACGCATGCTGTGTGTGTGTCACAGTGTTGCACACATGACATTCTGGTGCCCAGCACACATAAGGCTCTCAATAAGCTCACTGAAAGGAGGCTTTGAGTTCTTTTTAAAATGAGTATTTATGCCGGGCGTGATGGCACATGCCTGCAATCCCAGCACTCAAGAGGCTGAGGCAGGAGGATCGTTTTGAGTTTGAGACCAGCCTGGGCCACAAAGTGAGCTCAAGGCCAGCCTGAACTGCATAGCAAGACCCTGTCTCAAAAAGACCAAAAAATAAAATAAAATAAAATAATGAATATTCATGAAATACCTCCTAGTGTTTTTGGCTGGTATTTTGATGAAAAAACCAATTAGAATCTTGAATAAAGATTACACTAGGAAACAAAAGTACATAAAGCTTTGAATGTAATTATGTAGCATAAAAGTTAAGGTTGTTCACTATGATGGCATCTTAGAATTAAACAAAGCTATTACTAGGGCTGAAAAGAGAAGAAAAGATTACACGAGGAGTATTGAAATAAGATAACAGTGCTTGTTTGGAATTAAAATGTCTGTTGTACCAAAAAAAAGATCATTTGGCTTTGGGATGGCATTTCTTTTAAAACCACGCTGGAGTCATTTAAAGCAATACAATCCACTGGGAGCAGAGCTGTGATTAATTTTTTTTTTTTTAACTAAAATACTCTTGGGCATAACAGCCTTCTTGGGCATAACACAGAAGGCAGACACACAAAATGTAGAGGTGGCACTGCCTTGGTTACTGGAGAGAAACAGCCCCGCCCACGTCCAACCGCCTTACCCTCTACAGCAGCTTTCGAGGGCATTCCCAGGACACTGCTCATTATCTCAGGGGATGATTTGAAAACTGGTTGCGTTTTGTTGTTTTATTTATTTATTTTGCTGTACAGGGGATTGAACCCAGGACCTTTGAACTGAATTACATCCCCAGACCCTTTTTTAAAAACAGGATCTTGCTAAATTGCTTAGGCTGAGCTCAAATTTTTAATCCTTTTGCTGCAGCCTCCCAGAATACTGGCTTATAGGAATGTACCACCATATGCTGCCAGAAACCAGTATTTTAGTAAAAGGGGCTCCGCTAGAGTCAGTGTATTTGGATTCTGGAGATTTTGTCCCAGAGTCAGAGAATTGTGAGCAAGTCCTTCACGCTTTCTAGGGCCGCGGTCTCCTTGGCTGTGAACTGGAGGGCAGGATCCGGTGGTCCTGGAATTGCCTTCCGGTCGAAGCGTTGTTTCCATCCGTCTTGACGCACCGCTTTTGTTTTTCTTACTGGCCAGTATGGCCACTGACTCCGCTTTCCCTTTGTTTTAGGACAACCTCAACTTGCTGCTCACTGAGGAGGAAATGTACAGTCTCACAGAGACCTTTCAGCGGTGTAAAGTCATCCCTGGTGAGGCCAAGCGGTACCGCCAGGAGGGAGCGGGAACAGAGTTCTCCTTTACCCTTTCTAGGACTAACTCTGAAAGGGGCAGTCTGGGACTTGGGGGGTGAGGGGTAAATGGGAGCTTCTTCCTGAGTTGTTGGCCAGAGAGGCACCCACCCACCCCTGTCATAGCACTGAGTGTGCCCTGGAGGTGAGCGGAGGTGTCCAGGGCCGCAGGCGGGTGGGCATGGCCAGCACGGGTGCCTCCCACAGATTGCTCCCTGACCCTGGAGGACTTCGTGCGCTACCGCCACCAGGCAGCCAAGCGGGGGGACAGTAACAGAGCCTTGAGTGACGCGCAGGAGGAGCAGGCAGCTCGCCAGTTTGCAGCCCTAGACCCTGAGCACTGCGGCCACGTGGAGTGGCCTGACTTCTTGTCCCACGAGTCCCTCCTACTTCTGCAGCAGTTACGTCCGCAGGTGAGAGGCGGCCAGGGTGAGTGCATAGGAGGGGAGCAGAGGCCTGAGAAGCATGCTGGGCAGGTTGGGGCGCAGGAAACTGTCTCAGCAGGAGCAGTAATCAGGACCGGGCGAGGGTTCCGCGTGGTGACAGCTGACCGGTGCCCCCACCGGCTGCCCACAGATGGTTGGTTTACACGGGACTCCCCTGAAAACAGTGCTGTCAGAGAAGCTCCCGCAACTTCCAGGAGAGGTTGCAAAGGCTGGGCCACAGAAGCAGGATTCTGTGTGTCTTGACAGTGTACATGACATCTTCTCCTCTAAGCTCTTAACTGACCTCTTCTTCCCCAGAACTCGCTGCTGAGGCTTTTGACAGTCAAGGAGCGGGAACGAGCCCGAGCCGCCTTCCTGGCGCGGGGCAGCGGGAGCGCCATCAGTGAAACAGAGTGTCGGCGTGCCCAGCACTCCTGGTTCTGCAGACGCCTCTCGGAGGCTCCTTCCTGCAGCGTCAGGTCCGCTCCCTACCAGCCCTGGCCTCCCTCCCCCTTTCTCTGCGGCCCTTGGTGTTAAGGTTCCTCCCTGGTCCTGCTGACTGGAGGACCCTCTCCTGGCTTGTTGCCCGGTGTCAGATAAGTCTGGGCAGGCATAGCTCACCACAGTGTGAGAGAGATGGACTTCCACCACCCCGCTGCTAACCGCGGGGTCTTATGTCCAGCAGCATCAGCCACGTGGGTCCGATGGCGGACAGCAGCCCAGCCAGCAGCAGCAGCAAGAGTCAGGACAAGGCCCTGCTGCCTGCAGAGCAGGAGGCCAGGTAAGTGGACCTTCTTCTCGGCTGCCTATGCTCTCTGTCGCCCTAAATCACATATAAGTAGGGAAGGGCATCACCCGCTGCCACCCCTAAAAGAGCAAATGCCCACTTCAGAAAGCAGGCTCCAAGAGTATGCGTCTCTGCAGCCGGGCAGCTGATCTGCTGTCTCGGTGAGGCAGCCGGCCGTGTCATACCAGACACAAGCAAGCCTTCCCTGAGACGTTTTTTGTTTTCGTTCTCTTCCCTGAGTTTTGTGTCGCCCAAGAGATCTGCCGCTAGGATCGGGTCTCACGGCCTTCAGGCTGTGCCTCAGCAGCATCTGTTCTTTCCTTTCCTGCAGGTCTGTGGACTGGCCCACCTTCCTGCGGGAGAACGCCATCTACATCCTGGCTGCCCGCCCCAACAGTGCGGCCATCCACCTGAAGCCCCCAGGGTAGAGTGGCGCGGAGAGTCTTGGCTCAAGGACAGTGGCCTCCTCCCCCTCCTTTCCTTTCTGCCTTTCCTCCACCAACCTCTGATGCTGAGACTCATGGGGATGGGGCACTGCCAGGACCTTAATCTGTCATTAAGCATCATGGCACTGAAGTCACCATTCCCCCGCAGCAGGGGCAGTGGGTGCACTGCCTCAGGGAGAAGCCCTGAGAGCTGTGGCAGCACCGCTGCTGGACCGGCCCCGCGCACGTCAGAGACGGACCTGCCACCACACGTGCACACGCGCACGTGCGCACACACGCCTCGCTGTCCATGCCTTTAGAAGCCTGGTTCTTGCTAGTCGAAAAGGTCCCTTTGTGGGGAGAAAAAAAAAAAAAACAGGCAGAGATAAGATGGTCTCTACTCAACTCTTCTCTTGCCCAGTTCTGACTTCCAGTAGACAAGACTCTCATGATTGATTCTTAAGGAGGTTCGCTGAGAGGCCCCTCTGCCCACGCTGAAAGCCTCTTCAGCGGGGAGCTGCTGTCACAGTGGGTGTCTGCTGTGTGCCTCAGGTGTGTGGGGTGGGAAAATAGTGGAAATCACCACTGCACCGTTATTTATTCCTCACCCTTTATTTATTTAAATTTTAATTCCCTACCACAGAGAAAGAAGCTAGCTTACGAAATGTTGACCAGCAAGGGGGTAGGCAGCCTGTTCCAGACACCCAGAATTCTAGGAACCTCTCAGCCACGTCAGCCAAACCCACAAGTCTTCAGTGCAGTAGTCAGAAACCAGGATGAACCTTCCTGGTGCCTGTTTTCAGATGATAGCTCGTGGCCCAAAGCCCGAAGAACCTGAATGGAACAAATATGTTGGCAGGAGTCCCGGCCCTCTGTGCTGGACTCCAGCCAAGTCAGCCACCGCAGAGACCAATGGACAAGCTCTGCAGGGACGAGGAGAGGCGAGGACTTGTTTTTTCATGTTCCAGGTCAACCATAGACCTGGAAAAGTGTGCCGTTGTGTGGAGAACGGATCCAGCTTCCGCAGCTCAAGACAGAGCAGCTCTGTGAAGCCCTGACAAGGGATTGCTTTCACCATAGTGACAGTAAGCACAGGAAACAGCTGGGCTTGTAAAGAGGACCTGCATCTCAGCTCTCTCAAGCACAGGAGGTCCCAGGAAAGCCTCGTGGAAGAGCGTGCCCTTCCCTCATCACTCCGTGGCCTCAACTGCTGCTGCTCCTCACTGTTCACTGCATGTCCGTCCTCTCTGTGCTGGGGCCTGGACCTGACATGGGAGGGCTTTGGGGGCAAGCAAGGCACTGGCAGTGCCAAGCTCGGCCCGCAGGCACCCCCTTCCCAAGTTTTCCTCAAGTTCTCAAATCAGTATACCAGGGGTCCAGGCTCTGCATTTCTGTTCCCAGCTGCATGACTTAGGTACAAGCAGACAGGACTACCCAGAGTTATTCAAGAGGGAACTGAGCGTAGTCACACAGAAGCTCATATATCTCCATCATGCGAGGCCCTTGAACTTACTGAGGGGAGCACCACGCAGAGAAGCGTGAGGAGCTACAACTAGCGGCTTGGCAAGAGCCTGTATAGTCTCTTTCTGTGAGAATGGCGTGCAGCGGGATGATCAGCTGCTCGGGTAGGTTATTTAGAACTGAAGTGAAATGGGAGGCAAATGTGGGTTCATATGTACGGTCCCAAACATTTCAAAACCCACAGCTTCTCCTTCACCGTATTCCCAGGACCAATCCGTAAGAGGGTCCATGATTCAGTCTAGTTTGTTTTTTATTTTCCTTAAAAAAAAAAAAAAGAAGGGAAAAAGGAAAGAAAGCACACTCTTGAGCCTAAGGACTGCATCTGAAGTAGCCAGGCCTGAGACTTCACACAGAGAAGATTAAAACACATTAAACAAGGCTTCTTGCTTACTATCCTGCCGTCACCTGTAGCTGTGGGCTGCGGGATGTCAAAGATGGGAGATTTTGAGTAGACACAAGGTCTGAATTGTGAGCTGCGTAGCTTTTTTTTCTCCTGCTTCGTCAGTCACAGGGACTAGAAGGCCGTCTTCTTGATCCTTAATGTTTCACAGATCAAGGCAATGCCTACCGCTCTGGAACTGTGGCTTCTAGCTGCCTGCGGGTGAGTGGTGAGAGGCCATCGGCCAGATCGGGCTGGCTGTGTCCTAGGGTCTGCAGAGCAGGCCAAGAGAACTTCTACAATGGGAGCAGGCCCATTTAGTATCGCTCTTCTCCCGATCTCAGGGCAGCAAGCTTCCTTGGAGGGAGTTCTGCTAATGAGGGCCCAGGGGATACTGTCCCCAGCAACTAATGGAGGTCCTGGTCCACAGCAGTCCTAGGAAGCAGAAAAGCACCCAGGAACAGCCAGCATCTTCTAGTAAGCATCTAGCTTCTTACCAGAGGGAGGATCCCCTGCCCCCCAGTCCAGAGTTGCAGAGCCCCTAACCCAAACACTGCAGTGTCCTAATCCCTGGACTATCCTACAGTAAGGATGGAGATACCCACACTTTCATCGACCCAGTGAGGCCATTCCCTTTTCACGCCTTTCCGTCACTATGACAGAAATTCTGCCAGACAAAAATTAACATCTGCCTCTTAATAGAGGTATGAAAATATTTCAGTGTTTTTCACTCTTAGCTACCAAAAAGTGAGATTAGTGCTTTTCCTATTCCAAACCCCAACCATGGGAGGCTTGGGTTATGTGGAGCTCCTCTGAAGCCCACTCACCCTAAGCCTGTTTTCTCCTTGCAGTCCTCAGGGAGAGGATTTAAATGAAGGGGCATCTGAATGACAGTGTGGGGCTGCAGGGACAGACTGTCACTGAAGGAGTGGCTGTGGCCACATAATCTCTCCAGGTCTGCGCCTTGGCTTCCTTTCCTGAGGCAGCTCTTCCTAGTGGAACATTTGAGCAGTGAGCCCTGTGGTAGCCCAAGGAGCGGCTTCCTCACTCCTGGGTACTGATTGAGTTCTCAAGTGCCCTTCCCTTGAGGAGAGCTGCAGCAGAAACCACAAATATGTTGCCTCTTCCTACAACCCAGGCAACGGACTGGCAGGGCAGACACCCACCTTTCTGGCCCTGGTGCATCCTATGGAACGTCACCCTTGCCTTGCCGAAGTGGCCAGGGCCTGAGGTTCCCCCATCTCTATCACCAGTATGGAGAGCACATAGACTGCCTGAGAAGAGGGCACCTTGCCAGGCAGTGTGCCCAGGGTTGTGCCCGTGCCTCTTAGTCCAAAGCACAACTTCAACCATTGCAAGCATCAAGGATTCGGTAAGAACGGTGCCAGGAAGTCCTAAAGCTAAAAAGGAGGCTCGACAGAACTAGGCCAGTGACGACACCCCAGAGCCAAAAGTAACCTCTAGGCAGGACAGAACTGGCAGCGGGCTCTAGTGTTTGTGCAAGCATGTCCCCTTCCAACCTGCAGAGTGAAGGCAGGTGCACAGTGTGAAGTCAGGCATTGCTTAACGGTGAGCATACATTCTGTGAACTGTGTCTAAGTGACCTGTGACGTGAACCCCGTAACATGTACTTACACAAAACATGATCAGTCATATAAGCTCGTGGTCCGTGTGCAGTGCAGCGTGAGTCGGGACATCATTATCATTCAGCGCATGACTGTTCCGTCCTTGGCACTAAAAGGTCGATCAACCTTGATGCTAGAATTTCAGGACATCCTTGAAGCGTCTGTAACCTTCGTCCCTTTTATCCTCCCTGTTTTCAGGGGAACAGAATTGCTACTTCCCTCTCACCACTTAGTTTGCATTTGCTAAGCTGACTTGGCCCCTGCTGCAACCCAGACAGCAGAGCTCTGGAGGGGGCACTTTGAGTGCATCACGCCTGTTCCCGACAGCTCAGCCCTGGAGTGGAGTGGGGCTGGGCATTCTCCCTGCTGTTGCTTTCCTGCTGCCCCTATTTTTGGCAGCCTTGAAAAGAAAATGAATAGGTCACAGAGTTTCCATTAGATGCAACCAGCACTCAGAAAAAGCTGCCTCCCTCTAGGCCACCTGCCCCAGACACACAGAGGGTCGGGTCGGATCTGGACTCAATTCAGGAGTCAGATCGCATTCCAGTTTGGGTAGCACTGGGTTGGCCTTTCTATATCCACGGTGAACAAAGGCCTTCAAGCTTAGCCTCCAGCTGTTAAGGAATGGCCGTGGTCTGTCTGCCAACCACACACCAGAAGGGGAGCACTTGAGGAACAGTGGAGGCTCCAGCACCCTCTAATCCCTGATGCCCTCTCCATGCACTTTTCTGCAGAAGGTAACTTGACAGTAAGCTGAGGAGAACATCCCCAGGCCCTGTCTTCCTGTCTACGGCTGCATGCTCCTCCCTCTGCCTCAGCCTTCATGGCACTCCAAGAAGAGCTCCCAGAGCACAGCAGAAACCATAATAAAGATTGTGCCACCTCTTCAGCTTCCTGCTTCCTTTTGTTTGGGGAACCTACCATTTATCTGTGGCTTCCCATTGTTAGCCAGTTTCTGGGCCTGTGGGTAAGACAGAAGCCACAGGAGCCTCCAAGAGGAACGCAATATACAGGGGTTCTCTCAAGCTTTCTTGGCCCTGACCTTCGCAAGAGTCAAGTGATGGGTGTCAGGGCACCAGATAGAAGATGCGAGGATCTGTCGCGCACATACGAAAAGGAAATGGGGGAGGGCTAAAGGGGAGAATCAAAGCTTTAGAAACTGAAGGAATAAGGTCTCCCAAGCTATCTGCTCTGTGTTGTCCCGCTCTTCACCAAGGGCCAGTTTCAGAGATTTCTCTTAGTTCCAGCTGAGCTACAAAGTAGGGAAGCAAGTTGGCTGTTTTCTCGTGATTTCTGGGACCTCCCTGGTTGAGGAGTTTCCACCCCATTTTTACTATTGTTTTAATGTGATATGATAGAGTAGAGGAAACTCGCATGTAGAGAGGAATTTAGAGGTCTGTGTAGCCCCCATTCATCCCTTTACCTGGTGAGAACAGCTGGTTCCTGCAGGGTGAAGCATCTCTTCCATGAATCAGTTGCTGGCACTACCTCCAAAATCACTAGGGTCCCATGTATGAGCAATTGCTAACATTGCTGACCACTTACTATGCACTGGAAAGTCCTAAGTGGCTCACATAAAGTCAGCTTCAAAAAGATCCCATGAAGTGCGGGAGTGCGGCTCGGCAGCATGTCACCTAGCATGGACAAGGCCCTGAGTTTGAGCCTTGGTACCACAAGAAAGAAAGGAACCCTTGTAAGATTTGTACTGCAGATGGGGTACACAGTCACACAGGAGGTGGGGAGCCAGCTAGTGTGCCTTATTGCCCATGTTCTTAGCCCCTTCATTGTGCTGCCTGGCAAAGTGCATCTCAGAGGAACCGCTGCAGTGTGATCTAGCCCCTCCCTCTACCCCTGGAAATAGACCTAGATGGGCATCCAGGCCTATAGCTGTGTCGGATTCCTCACCACATGTACAACTCGCCTCACTCACTGGACTCCCATACCTCTTCCCTCTCAAGCTTTTCCATGGGGTTCGGGCATCCACTAGACCCAGAGGTGGCTTAGTGGTATCGTACTGGCCTCTCCTTGGTCTCCAAAGCTAAGCGTCAAGGCAGAAAAGAGGTATAAAGGCTGGGTCTCTGTGGAGTAGAACAAGTTTATGCTACCCTCAGCCCAGCAGTCCTGGCTGGCGTTTATGCCCTGCTGGGACTGTTCCTCCCACCAACTGTCATGTACTCCCGTGGTTGGTTGGAGCCTCAGCTTCACACAAACCTCCACCTCTGTCCTGCACTGGTCCAGGTATCCAAGGAATCTCAGTTCCCAAAAGGAAACAGTGGCCGCTAAATTTGGTAAACATGGAGAAGTGTTCTCTCTCCCATCATTTGCAAGGATTGGCTGGAGTTTGACCTTCCTGAATTCTTTTTCATCTATAAAAATCTGAGAGACTGTCCCTGTTCTGTCTGCCTTCTGAGCTTGTAGTTGAGTAAGGACAGAATGAGACTGGTGAGAGGAAAGAGCTACGCCAGGCGTGGTGATGCACACCTGTAACCCCAGCACTTGGGAGGCTGAGACAGGAGGATTGCTGCAACTTCCGAGGCCAGCTGGTGCTACATACTGAGTTTAAGGCCAGCCAGAACAACATAGTGAGACCCTGCTTCAAAAAAAAAAAAAAGGAAAGAGCTTAATACAGTGCAAGGTACTGAGTGAGCAGCAAGGATTTCTGCTCCATCTGAAGCTATGCTTCTTCCACCCTCCCACAGTCTCAGCCAGAGCTGGGGGTACCGCCCGTGGTCTCTGTCCACAGTGCTGAAGTCACAGCCAAGCCAGCAGGGTACGTTCGGTCTTCATCCCACCTTTAAGCAAACATCAAGTGCAGAAATTTTCAAACTCAAAGATTGCCCTAAAATTCAGAAGCTGTTGTCAAAATGCTTTTTGTTTATTTCACATACCTTTGGTTTTTCAAAATCCGTAACAGGTACAGATGGGCCGAAGGTGATTTAGCAGCTCAGGGGAGAAAGCACGAAGTCCTAACTCCATGTGGGGAACTGCGTGAGGCGGCTACCAAACACTGAACCTGATTCCTGCTGCCTCCCCCCCAAAACCAAAACCAAACACTGAACCGATGCAGCCTGAGGTTATGTGGAGACAAGTTCAGTGAGAGAAGGGAGGCGAGCTTGCTCGTTACATGCTGCAAAAGCCCTCCCGGAAGAAGTTCCTCAGAGCCAGGCCCCACAAACTGAAACCCACAAAGAACAGAGCTGTGGCCGGGATCAAGGCAGAGGAGGGCCCGAAGGAGGCGTGTATCCTGGGGAGGACGGCCAAGCGAAGCAGAGGCTGACATGCGCGGCTGGGGCTGATGAGGTCGAGGTGGTCTCCAGGAGACAGCTAAGACACAAGTGAACACTATGGGAAGGCAGGTTTCTCCTCCACAGGGTCCAACGACAACTGGATACAAGGGAGGGCAGAAAACTGTAAACATATGGCAGAAATGTTGTGTTCAGAGGAAAATACCTTGTTGGGTATTGAGTCCTCTTGAGTCTCGAAATGCCAGTCAACACACGCCTTCTGGCACACATGCCAAGCCCTAATACTGGCTGAACTGGAAGAGTCACTAGCTTTAAGGACTACATGACCCTAATGTTTTGGCATCAAAAACCTGAGAACTTCAATTTCCTTAGCTCACAGGAGAGCTCGAAGCTTTCCCCTGGAGCCTGATACTGCATGCCCTCTGCTGGCCTAGCACTGCAATCTCATCCCAGTGCAAGAAAACCTCTTTAAGCCCTTATGGAACTGATTCGTGTAGATTCAAAACATGCACAGAGACACTGGTTCCAGGGAGCTAGGTCCTAACCAGCGCCCAGTGCACATGATCAGAACTGAATCTGCATGAGTTCAAGTGTCCGGTATCAAAATTAGGGCTTGGGCCAGGCATGATGGTGCATGCCTGTAATCCCAGCACTCAGGAGGCTGAGGCAGGAGGATCGTTGCGAGTTCGAGACCAGCCTGGGCTACATAGTGAGCTCAAGGCCAGCCTGAACTGCATAGCAAGACCCTGTCTCAAAAAGACAGAAAAAAAATTAGGGTTTGGCCATGTGTAAGACGAGAGCTTAGGCTGTGGCTGGATTTGGGGAGCTGTCTAATCCAGGACTTCAGCGTAACCAAAGTCAGTGACTCAGATTGATGCTGGAGTTAGGACTCAGTGTGAGGTCAAGGCTGAGGACCAGGTGTCTGCAGGAAGCTTAAATCAGCTGAGAAGCTAGGAGTAAGCGCAGAAAGGCACTGGTCTACCTCCATGTTTAATAGGTTCACACGGCCTTCCAAGTAATGAGTACCCAATCACTGGAGAATTCATGCAGGGATATTGCCCAGGGGAGAGGTATAAAGGGTGGGGGACAGAACCAGAGGCCCCTTTCTTTTCAGAAAGTGTATCCAAGTATCCTAGTTTCAACTTCCTGTAAATGCCTCCTGCCCTGTACTACCACATATAAATCACAGATATAATTTAGGGAGAGGAGAGGCCCAAGGTCCAGTCCTGTTGCTGAAAAGCTGGCAGCTGTAGGGATAGTCTCCCCCCACCCCAGGATTCTCTGTTTCTACTGGCAACTGGGTCTGGCAGCCTCCCACACCCAGATCTTAGCAACCATGGGAGCCCCTGGCAACTGCTGCCATGGTGACAAGACAGGGAACTGAGAACAGGAGGGGGGCAGCGCTTCCCCTGGAGGCTTTGAGATGTGTGCAAGATAGGGTGCTAGCCCTCCCATACACAGTCTGGGAGGGAACATGTGCTCCTGTCTAAACACCTCCTCACTGGCACCCACCCCTGCCCCTGCCCACAAGTTCCGGTTCCCTCAGGGTGAGGAAATGAGGGACACCTAGGGTTATGACGTCTCTGTGGGGAAGGAGGGTGAGCGGGGGTGTTTGGGGCTGGCATGATCACAGATCCCTGCATTCACTGGCAGACACGGCATCAGTGTCTCAACAGCCACATACTTCACCCACATTGTTATGTAGACACATGCTTGCACATGTAATCACACATGTGCACTGACGCAAAATCACATACTTATAACGAATAACAGAACAAGCATTCTGCCACACAAAGTCAGTTATACAAATACACTCTCCCAAATTGAACTGCAAATCCCGCAGTGCAAATAACTCCCAGCCCCGGACACACACAATTACAGATGCATTCACACATCCAAGTATCTGTGGACACAAAGTAACAGGTAACTTGGCTGAGTATTAACTACCTGCCAAGCTCAGAATCCATCGCATTACATGTGTCACCTTATCTAACCCTCCCAGCAGCCCCGTAAAGTGCTGCTTTGGCCTCTCTGCATTTGTAAAAGGCAAAATGAGACACAGGTGTGGCACGTGGCCTTTGTGCTGAGGGTCTGCCTGTGGGACCCGCATTCTGGCAGTCTACACACACTGTGTGCCCTGGTCCCAGTGCCAGGACAGTGAGACAGCAGGCAGCAGCTGTGGTCCAGAAACGCAGCAGCTTGAGCCACCAGCACCTAAGGGCATAACCCTGCGTGCCTGTGGGCTCACACCCCCACTTCGGCATTAGCAGGGCCAGGTAAGCGCTGGTGACTAAACCCTGCCTCCATGTTGGCGAGGCAAGGCCGGGGGAGGCGGGAGACAGAAGTGGAACAGTGAGAGGCAGAGCCACCCGCAGCCCAGGCCCCCAGGAGTCATGAGGTGGGGGTGCGAGGCCCTGGGCGTGAGGAGCCGGCCCCGTCCTGGCTCCCGCGTCGCAGCCTGCCCATGCGCGCGTCACGCTTCCATCCCTTCCCGCGCATCCTTCCTCGCCCCAGCAGTTTGCTGGTCGCGCAGTCATCCCTCTCCGCTCCCCCCCCCAGCCCCTCCTCACGCCTCACTTCCTCCCCTCCCTCAGCCCCGGCGTCTCCCCACCCGGCCTTCCCTCTGCCGCCCTCCTCCGTCCTCGCCTCACCCTAACCCTTTTCTGATTTTACACTCACACCCTTTACCCAGCGGTGAGGGCGCCCCAAGGAAGCTCCCGAAACAAGGCGGCGAGGGAAGCCTGCACGGAAACACCGGGCCCGGGCCTGTCTCCTGCTCCCCGCTGCAGGATGGGCGCCCCCGCTCCCGCTCCGGGCCGGCGGGGCCTCAGGGGCGGCTAAGCTGTCTCTAAGAAACAGCAAAGCAAAGGTGCGAACTTGTCCAGGCCCTTCCCTCGTCATCGAACTCTCCGCTCACCCCCAGTTACCCCCTCCGCACCCCCGCTGCCTGGAGCACAGATGGGCCCGGGAGACAGCGGCGTGGGCGCCAGGCTCCGCGTCTGCCGGAGCGGCGGCTTCCGCCGGCGACCGCCTCCGCAGCCCCGCCCGCTGAGCGGCGGGGACACTGGGGCTCATTTAATTATTTAAGGGGGGCAACCGAGATGAGGGCGTTAAGCAGGGAGAGCACGGGGAGGTGCGAGGCAAGTTTAAAGGGGGCGCTGTAACCGAGGAGACCCGGGCGAAGACCAGGACAGCTCCTGAAGAGGGGAAGGACGGAGGTTGGGGTGGAGGAGCAGGAGGTCGCGGGGGAAGGAAGCGGGCTCGCGTCCAGGAACCCCAGCGCGAGACTCGAAGGGCCGGGCGCGAGGGGCTCTGAAGGGGGCGCTGTGAGGACGGCCGAGAAGGGCCTGCCGGCGAGGGGCTGGGAGGAAGGCCGCACGGAGGGTGCGAAGCGGCTTGGCGGGCGGGTGCCCTCCTGGGAAGGGCCGCCAGGTTCCGCGCGCAGGGCAGCGGGGGGCCGCGTGAGCGAGCCGCGCCCGTCCGGGTCTGTCCCGAGGTTCAGTCAGGCGGCGTCGGGCCAGCCCTGCGTCAAGGCACAGTAGCTAAACCAGGCCAGGTCGAGGCGGCGCACGGCGCGACGCAGGGCAGCGCGGAGGGCGCATCTCCCAGAGCGCACCCTGCGCTCTGCCCTGCTCCCTAAAGAGGAAGGGATGCCCCGTGTCACTGCCAACTGGTGGGCGCAGTTTTCCTTTAAGGCTGCCTTTGACGTTGCACGAGTTCCAGAAGGTTCTCCCGGGATTCGAGCGGTGACCAGTCCGGCCCACCTTCTCAAACCCGAGATTGGACTGACATAGTTGCCACCGCCCCCCTCAGGTCTGAGTCTCACAGACGGACCAATAGAATCAAAGGGCGCAAGGAGTTGCCACCCCCTGTCCTTTCCACCAACGACGCGACGAGATGGAGAAGAGGCGTGGTTGACTGATCGCAGAAGGCACCAATCAAACCCACACCAATCACCGCCCGGAATGTGTGCGCGTGTGGCCGGGTGACCGGGGCGGAGAAGGGGCGGCTATCACCGAGCCGCTCCTCGGTAAATGGCCAATCACAGGCGAGGCGGAGCTGAGTGACGGGCCGACGGCGCAATGGGCGGCGCAGAGGCGGAGCCGTGGGGGCGGGCTCCCGGTCCCGCTGTCTGCGGCCGGCGGGCAGGCGACTCCTGTCCGGAGTGGAGGCGGCGGAGCCACAGCCGGGGGAGGGGGCAGCGGCTGTCTGACGGACCGCGGCGGCGCCCGCAGCTCCTCACCGGTGAGGGCGCCGAGCCAGCTCTCGGGGGTCCCGGGAGTGGGCTGTCGCGAGGCCGGGGTCTCGGTGTCGGGGGCAGGGGCGCTGGGACGCAGAGGACCCACCGGGCGCGGTGCTGCGG